TAAAAGTTTATATTTTACATATTAGTACAATTTAAATTGTAAATTAGGAAATCCTTTTGATAATAAAGTCTTCTTTTTCTTCTCTTTTTATTGGTTAAGGTCAATATATAATTTGCATCACCGACTCCTCCAGGCTGCTTAGTTATATTACTCTCTTGGATATAATTAAATTGTTAGTTGTGTTGATTACGCAAACTAATTTACTTTTGTTAAGGCTAATTAGTTCATGAGTACTTTAAAATTGTGCAAGATTTTTTTGTTTAAACACAGGTGATCGCAGTATCATTGCTAATAACCCATTTACTAATGTACCTACCAGTATGGGCGGATCTACGTTGGGTTGGGTTTAGATATACATGTTACCCTTATTTCAAAAGAAATCAAGTGCAAATTCAGGCACAATTGCCTTAGATCTTGTAACTATATAAACAACTTATTCGAAGAGAAATAATAGACAGCATCCGTCGTTGAATACTAGTTACGTCCCTGTCTACTGGGCAATGTTATTAATACTGTATTGTATCAGTTGGTAGGTTGGTATATATTGATTTTTACATTAAACCAAAACGGTATATAATCCAATTTCTTAATCAAATTTCCTTTATTTCAATCAAATTTTGATGTACTGACCAGTATTTTTGCATACCAGTCGGTGCATGAAAATTGGTCCGTAGAACACAATTCAAATTTAAAAAGGGTAAATTTTATTTTTAATTCTCAATCTTAATGTTTTACATAATTTTCATCCTTTAAGTTTTTTATGTATTTTTCAGTCCATCAATTATGAAAAATATATTTTTTTGGTCATTCTATCAATTACTCTGTTAAATTTGTATAAATATATACATTTTTAGTCCCTTAACTTAAAGTGGATGGACAAAAAATATGCAGATATTAGAAGTTAAGGGACTAAAAATGGTCATTTTAAACTTGTTTTTAATTTATAAGAACATAATGGTTTTAAACATTAATATCTCTTATCTTATTTTAAATTTTGATATTTAATTTATAAAAATATATATTTATAACGATAAATTCAAAACGATATGTGAAAAATTTTAATATCTGGTACGTACCGTTTTAGTAGCAAAACCTATAAATACGTCGATACATTAATATCTCTTATCTTATTTTAAATTTTGATATTTAATTTATAAAAATATATATTTATAACGATAAATTCAAAACGATATGTGAAAAATTCTGATATTCAGTACGTATTGTTCCAGTAACAAAACTGATATACATATTGGTACGGTATTGACAACTTTGCTATTTGGTCAAATTTTAAACGTTTTCATTGGTTTTATTAGAGATAAAACAGCTGATGAGCTTAAGAATATATAAATATACGTACAAATCATGCAAATGGGGAAAAATGTTTAT